ATGAAAAGTCTATTTAAAATTATAATACCTATAGTTGAGGAAGAAGAAGATGTTATGAGGAAGAGGCAGAAATGAAGATTTGTGGGCCAATGATTATCAATGAAGCTCTTGAACATGGAATCAGGAAAGGAATTGGGTGGGGTGGGGGAGTAGAAAAGGAGGAGGAAGTAGCCCAGCAAGGATGCAATTATAGGCAAAGTTTTATTCTCAGCATCACTGAGTGGGAGGTCTGGGGTGTAATTGATACTGTAGAGTTTATTCTGCCTCAAGGAGGTCATCTGGGCTTTCATACTTCTCTACTACCCAGGGGCTGGCCATCTGCTGTCCTGGGACGAGGGGAGGGACACCAACTCTCCTGCACCTACTTCTGGCTCTCAGTGCATCCTGCCTTAGGATATCCTGTAGCCCACAGGTAGTTTTTTGAAGAAGGGGATTGACCAGTTAGGTTAGGAGCTGAGTGTGCAGAGCTGGAGAATGGGCTCCCAGAAGCAATAAAGGGGATTCAGGGATTGCAGGGGCGTCTGTAACAATTGTTTTAAAGCAAAACTGAACATTAATAACCCAAAGGCTTCAAATTACATGGGATTGGAATGACCAGTGATGACAGTTGAGCAAGTGGAGAAATAAAGTCAGGAATAAATCACCATCTTTGCTCCAAAAGACTAGGTCTTTCCAGTAATTTTCCCATACATTTTATATAAAACAAATGCTTTGTTTCTAAGTTTAGCAGAAGGGAGATGTGGGAGATTTATAGGCAAAGAGGTGAGAGGTTGATTTGTTCAGGAGACATTCAGATCCTATTTAAATCTTAGAATCTGATGAGTCATGTCTGTGTCACAGAGAAGCATTTGGGTTATGAAATAGTGAATGTGTTCTTTCTGGCAGGCCTATCTGGTTGCCCTCCATTCTTGTCCTGCCTTACACCGTCATACACAGTCCCTTCTTTGCTACAGTACTTTGGGCTTTTTTGCATTTGATCTTTAAATCTAATGAGGTAGCAGCGTCAACTATTTTTAGATGAGAAAACTGAGGCCAGATAGGTTAAATTCTTGCTTCTCAAATTTAACATCACATCACAATTTTATAAACTACTATTGGGAATGCTTGTATAAAAGGACTCATTCCTGTTGTTTTTTTTTTTAAAGTTCCCGAGGTGATCCTGAAGTACAGCCATATTTGGGAATAGAGGGATTAAGTGAAGAAAACAGTCACTCCTAAGCCATTAATTTATTTTTCATTTATCTGCCTAGTTATTGAGCATTTCCTTTATGATAAAGATTCTAGTGCAACAGTGAAAAGATAGTCATAATCCCCTTGGCCTCATAAAAGATGATAGTCTGGAGAGGGACGGGAGTCAGGTTCAGATTGTTTGTACAACATCATTCATGTTGTTTCTGCAGACAAAGCATGTGGTGAACTTGAGGGTGAGACAGAATTAAACTAATAATTCCCAAGGCAACCAAACCTCATGAAACTAGAGTTTCAGTGCATTTGGGGAATGATAACACCCACATCTTCATGCACATCTTTACAGGCAAGAAAGACATTGGTCATTTGGGGGCACTAGCACTGTCCTATGAAGACAATCAAAACTGCTAACTGGTTATATGTATCAAATGCTCTCTTTTATTAAAACATTACGGAAGCCCATGGGGAGGCTGACGTACAGAGGAGTTCCTGACCTTTTGGTCTCAAATTCCACAAGACAGATTAAACTCCTTACTGTGGGATTCTCTTATAGTTAGCTAAACCAAAGACAATCCTGCAGAGAACTTGCCTAGGGTCCAGACAGAGACACAATTCATCCTTTGTTTTCCTTCCTCTTGTGATTCAATAGAGAAGTAGGGGAAGGCTTTTTTTCCCCCCTCAGATAAAACAGGCAGACATACAGCATTTGGCGAGGGTGAACACATGGATTTTAAGATCTAAAGGCCTTTGGTGAGTGTTCTTCAAAAGCAAGTGTAAGCTATCAGTCTCAGTCTTGCAGCCCATGACAGAGTAAAGGCTTTCCTGGAGCAGGACTGAGTCAGCAGCCACTCCATAGAGAATCCAGGAAAGAGATATGGGGACCCGTTTTCTAGCATGCTTTCCTATACAAAACTATTACCAACACACACATATATACACACACACTGTTTGCCTCATTAAGTTGGGTTCTTTACTTGTTTAAAAATACAACCAGTATTCAGGAGGCTGAGGCAGGGGGTTCACAATTTCAAGGTTAGCCTCAGGAATTTAGCAAGGCCCTCAGCTATTTAGCAAGGCCCTCAGCGATTTAGTAAGGTCCTCAGCGATTTAGCAAGACCCAGGTCTCTAAATAAAGAAATAAGGAGCTGGGGATGTAAGTCCTTTGTAAAGTAACCCTGGGTTTAACCTTTAACCCCAGGACCAAATATATATATATACATACATATATATATAATATTATATATTGTATATAATCTACTTTTTTAAAATTAATTATTTATTTATTTATTTTAGTTGTAGATGGACACAATACCTTTATTTTATTTATTTATTTTTATGTGGTGCTGAGGATCGAACCCAGGGCCTCACACATGCTAGGCAAGTGCTCTACCACTGAGCCACAACTGCAGCCCCTATACATTATTGACTTCAATGCAGAAATTCTTCAAAGGATGCTTAGCATATTTTAAGAAAACCTCAAGATCATTATGAAGAACAATTTAGTCTTTCTATATATACTATTGGTATTTTCTCTTGCCTTTCTGATGTATTGAGTCATTGTGTCATCTTTTATCTTTTTTTTATGTTTTTGAGTTCATCAAATGCTTGTATTGACCATACTAACTTCCTCATGTTCTTGTTTTGTATCTTTCTCCTTATATCATTATAATCTCATATTTAAAATTTTTTTTTAGTTGTAGTTGGACACAGAACCTTTATTTTATTTATTTATTTTTATATGGTGCTGAGGCTCGAACCCAGGGCCTCGCAAGTGCTAGGCAAGTGCTCTACCACTAAGCCACAACCCCAGCCCTGTAATCTCATATTTTTTGAAGAGTGAGAAAGGGTACTAATAGTGAAGGCAGTTAATTTTAATGGTTTGAATATGTCCCCCAAAGGTCATGTGTTGGGGACTTAATTCCCAATATGACAGTGTTGGGAGGTGAGGTCTAATAAGAGGTGAATATGTCATGAGGCATCCACCCTTGTGGATAGACTAATGCCAATATTAAGGAAGTGGGTTTCTTATGAAAGGATGGGTTCAGCCCTTTTTATTCTATTGGCTGCTCTTTGCCATTCTGCCATGTAATGACACAGCAAGAAAGCCCTAGCTAGAAGCCAGCCTGTGGATCTTGGACTTTCCAGCGTCCAGAACCATGAGCCAATATATTTCTGTCCACTATAAATTAACCTAGTTCCAAGTATTCTGTTATAGCAGCACACAAGGATTAAGACATTAAGTTTTGGATTTCACAGTGTTTCCCTGAAGATAGCATAATGTCAACAAAGCAAGTAATTAAACTGAGTAGGTGCTGACTATGGATGAAGGGCATGCCAAGTTGTTAACACAGCAAGTCATTAAGCAAAGTGACTACTAAACTCAATAAAGCAAGACTTGCCCCTGGATAAGCTGCCCTGGGATAATGCAGAGTTGACTATGGTAGTCCAACTTTCAACCAGGAAAAAAGGTTGGAGACAAAAGATAGCAATAACAACCTTTCAGAGTTGAAAAGTTGGAGGATACTTCAAAAAATGGTCAGTTGGCTGCAAGCGCTACCTTTAAAGATATTATTGACTGACCCTTCTGAGCTATATGCCTATCCATTCTATAATCAAAATAGATATGCAGCTTACTTGTGAAAAACTTATTCCAATATTTAATGCTTCTAAATAGTTCTTTCTGCATCCCAACAAAGATTCTCCCAAATGTAAGATCATTTTTCTTTGGTAAAACTATCTGGCTTCATGAAAATAACTGCTTTTCTCATTAAGGGATTTAACACACAAACTCTGGAGCCAGACTGCCTAAAGTGTGAACCCCAATGCAAGCACTTGGACTGTCAGCTTCTTGGCAACTTTCTTAATCTGCCTGAGTTTCCTCATTGATAAAATGGAAATGCTACCAGGGAGTTAGTGTGAGAAATAAATGGGATAATGTATTTCAAATTCTTTCTTACTATTGATGGGTGATAAGCTCTCAAGAATGGCAATAATAAAAATTATTGTTATTCAATACTTCCTATATTTGAAAGTGGTATTTGAACGAATCTTATGCTCTTCTACCGAGCATTAAACAATTCAAATTTCCTTTGAAAATTTCAAAATCTTCTCATTTTTCCTTCTGACTGATCATTAGGTTATTTAATGTAACAATTGATAACCATATATGCTCAAAAAACTAAGAAATTTACTTTTTATAGTATTTTTAATGATAACGACCTTGAATCATCATAAGAAAAGTTGCAAAATAGTCAAAATACCGATTTTGAGGAATATTTCAGCTAAATATTATTTTTTCTTTGAAAATCAACTTTAAAAGGGACAATCAACTGGGAGCATAGCTCAGTGGTAAAGTGCTTGGCTAACATTCATGAAGCCCTGGGTTTGATCGTCAGCACTGCAAAATAAACGAATAAATAGAAAATAGAAAAATAAAACGGACAGTCAGCAATTAAGCATGTCCTGAGAATATAGTGGTGAGAAATAACAGATGCATTCTTTGTTAAGAAGGGCAGATATTAATCAAATAGTCATAAAAATGGAGAGCCTAATTAATAAGCGAGATGAAGAAATGAAGCATGTTTCTATATGAGTATACTAAAAACAGACACTGACCTCATCAGGCTTCCCTGAAGAAAGGACACTTAACCAAGACCCACGGAATGAGTAAGCAATACCAGGGCCAACTGGAGGGGCAGTTAGGCTGTTGGGAGCAGCTGTTAGGTTGGAGCTCTTTTACCTGAAGGGTCCTTTGCAGCAGGGGGTAGAAAGTGGGGGGTGGGGGTGAAGAGCATCAGAGAAAAGATCAAAAGCAAGAATTCTTGGCTGGGAGGTGCCACAGTGCAGAAGGTAAGAGAGGGAGCACCACAATCCCTGCAGGTCATATAAATCTTGCTAAGGATGGTCTGTCTTGTGGGAAACAACTGAAGGTTTAAAGCAGATCACGTAGAACAAGATCCAGCTTGCACTTTGGAAAGATGGCAATGACTGCAGTGTGGGGAGTGGACAGGTAAGAGGCTGAAAGTGTTGCAGGGCAATTATCTAGGACTGTAGAAGTCTAGGGGTGAGGACTGTGTACTTGCACTAGGGTCTTTACAGTAGGGAAGGAGGGAAGTGGACGCATACCATAAATATTCACAGGTAGCACTTGGGCTGGGAAGAAGGTGCTTGAATGACTCCAAAGTTTCTGGAATGAGTAATTGAAAAGATGAGGTAGCACTTACTAAGACAGTGCCCATTGCAGGAGAACACTGTAGCACTCATAGTTTGTAAGGTAGGTTATAAATTTTATTTTAGACATGCTGAATTTCACATAATTAGAAGATTCCAGGTGATTACTGGTGAGCATGCATGGAATCCAAACAAAAAAACAATGGAAAGTCCTGATGGACATGCTTTCCAAATGATGACTATTATACTTTTTTAGTGACTGCATTTGTGTTTACCAGATTTAGAATCCCTTTCTATAATAGGACAAGCTCCACAAACTATAACATAGATAATAGCTTAGCATCTGCGGAAGCTCAGTTAAAGCTGTCAGATTGAACATAAGCATTCAAATCTCTCCGTTCCTGAACCCAGCCAAGAGAACAATAAAATGATTTTGAACAAGACATAAATGCACAAGGACAAAGGGAATGAGATAGAAGACAACAGCAATAAAATTTTAGAAAATGGGAAGCAGATAGATGAGTAGTAACTCAATTAGGACACCCAAGAAACTGAATCTTAAACTTGTGGAGAGGCAGCCCAACTTAGCAATGCACAGCTCTAAAAAATTGGAGCATCAGGTACCTTAGGAACTAGGAACTAAGTAGAACTTAGGTGCCTAAGCAGGGGATTTGGCACAGAGTCTTTGAAAAAAAAGCTGGTAGATCCCTAACTCACCACACCTATCTTTTACAGGTAGCAGAATGACTCTCTGTCTCACTCTGCTGACAATAACAAAGGGACTCTGGATTGGTGTAATGGGAAAGGTTGAGGGCTATGACACTGAAGACTAGGGAGGCTGATTCATCCTGAGGCAGGGAGGGGGAGCAAGGGAGGAATAGATGAATTTGATATAGGGCAGAAGGGTGGGAGGGGAAGGAAGAGGGCATGGGGATAGAAATGATGGTGAATGAATTAGACATCATTACCTTAAGTACATGTACGAAGACATGAATTGGTGTCAATATACTTTGTATACAACCAGAGATATGAAAAATAGTGCTGTACATGTGTAATATGAATTGTAATGCATTCCGCTGTCGTATATAAAAATTTTTTAAAAAAATAAACAAATAAAAGAGTGTTTATAAGCCGGGCGCGGTGGCGCACGCCTGTAATCTCAGCAACTCAGGAGGCTGAGACAGAGGATTGCGAGTTCAAAGGCAGCCTCAGCAAAAAGTGAGGCACTAAACAACACAGTGCAACCCTTTCTCTAAATAAAATAGAATAAATGACTGTTGATGTGGCTCAGTGATCAAGTGACCCTGAGTTCAATCTCACCCTCCACACCAAAAAAAAAAAAAAAAAGTGTTTATAAATATAAATCATGCACCAAGATTTCCTCCACTTTCTTCCTTCACTTGAGTCCTAGAACACTGTTAGCCAGGCTTGCACCTTCTTGGCAGAAGGCTGGAAGTGTTCTCTGGGAAGTCTTATCAGCCTGAGAGAAAAGACACTGGCCCAGTATGTTGACCAGTGTCACATCATCCCAAAGCAAACCCAGTGGACAGCCACCTTCTCTTCTCAATGGCCCATTCTTGAAATAAAACTGGACAGCTGGGGCTGGCTACATATTTGAGGGGAAAAGCCTATTAATGAAAGAGAGAAAAAACAAACAGAAGAAGGCAACTTGAAGGGAATACACTCTGCCAAAAGAAAACTTTAAAAAACAAACTATCTGGTCTTCAGAGAGCTAAGAGAAGATATGAAATAATAACAGGATTATCTATAAAAAGAATATTCAGTATGCTCAAAGAAAACCTAGACATTAAAAATATGACATTAGAAATGAGAAATTTGATATTAGTCCTAAAACATGAAGTTAAGGACGTCTCCTAGGACAAAGAGGAGAAAGACTAACATAAGGATGTAGGAGAGCTAGGATATTATGATTGTAGGAGCAATCCAGGAGTCCAACATCCAAGAAAAGGGTTACTAAGAAAAAAAGAGCAGATGATAGGGAACAAAGAAAAGAAAATCATGAAAATATTTTATGATTTCAGTTTCCAGGTTAAGTGGCCCATCAACTTCTCCAAACCATGGATTAAAAACAGATATTCATCCAAGAATACCATATTAAGACTTTCATTAATATATTCCTATCTGATATAATGAAAACCACAGCATGATCATATTGAGAGAATGGGCTCAGGATGGGAGTGAGGAATGAGAAAGAAGGATGGCTAACTTCTCACTCTCTAGAGTTACATGACAAGGGAAAACATACAAAGTAACAATTAAAACACATTATTCTGGGGCACAGTGGCACAATCCTATAATCCTGGGGCCTGGGGAGGCTGAGGTAGGAGAATCACAAGTTCAAAGCCAGCCTCAGCAATTTAGTGAAGCCCTAAGCAACTAAGTGAGACCCTATCTTTAAATAAAAAATACATAAAAGGACTGAAGATGTTGCTCAGTGGTTAAGTACCCCTGGATTCAATCCCTGGTACCAAAAACAAAAAAAAACAAACAAACAACAACAAAAAAAATCCCCAAACATTATTCAGTAAAACAGAGGGAAATACCTAATTAAGCATCCAGAGTGGGCTTGAATGGAGTATGAAAAGAGTTGCCTCTAGTGAATGAAAAGTAGGTTGTTTTCAAAACAAACCTTGTAGAACTGATTCTTTAAATTATATGTATATGTAATGTCAGTAAAATAAAATATAACTCTGCAAAATCAGGCTCTGGAGGTGCACTGATGTCATACATATCCAATGCCTAACACTAATTTGTATGTTATTTAACTTCTTGAGCATCAGTTTCCTCATATGAAAAATTGGAGACAATAGCACTGACTTTCTGTGAGGTAATTGAGAGGATTATATACAGTGAAGTGCATAAAGTTAGCACAGTGCCTTGCTATTTTCTGGCACTTGGTGGGGGGGGGGGATTCTTTTTGCTTTCCTTCTTGCCAATCATCCTTATTTCATTTGCTTAGCCTTTTCCACATTTCTGATCAGATCTTCTTCCAAGATATTGTACCCAACTCACTTTGCTTGGAATTCTGAGTGCTCTCAAATACACTGATGGGTTATACCAATATCTGGTTAATTGTCAAAAGAGAATCAGCATGCTCCTACCTGTATGTATTTGATACATTCTTTCCAAAGGTATTGGGAAATATATTCACCTGAAATTATAAGTAATCCATTTCTCACCGTGTTCTTTTGTTTGGATTTTGGGGTGGGAGTACAGTAGAAAGGTAGCTCTCATTGATCACACACACACAAAAAAAATATTTTGAAAACTTTTCCATCATAAACTTATCATTTTCTGATTTATTTCTAAAGGTGGCTTCCTCCACTATTTGTGAATTTGTGACTTTGCTAGAGCCATGTACCTTCAAGTTTCTAGTGCCACTCCACTGATCCTCCAACTAACAGAGCAACAGTCACAGCATGTGAATTTTGAAATTACTTCAATTTGCCAATATAGAAACTGAACTCACTGACTTGTCTGAAAGTCACAACCAGAAAGTTGTAGGTTAACTTCTGTTCTACTTCTCTCAGTCTAAGCCTAGTGTTCTTTCTACCTTGTGAACTGAGTGCCCATCAGTGAGTGACATCTTTGTGGGCTCAGATTTGTGAAATGAAGGCGTGGAATAATCTTTATATTCCTGCCAGCCCTAATTTCCTATGAATTGCTGAAGTCTAGGAGGAGATTAAACCTGTATCATTCCCAATGATTTTTTCCTCCCATATAGGGGCTGTGGATTCTACTAAGATCCAAAAAATCCATATAATTATGAAGTCCAGCTTTCTCCCATACAATTTTCACTTCCTGCCTTATTCATAAATACCAAGATACAAAATGGCTTTGGGTTTTATTTTCACTTTTGCAATCACTTGGGAATCTCATCAAGCCTGAGGAAAGGTTTGGAAATTCATTTTGCATTTCTCAAGAAGCTACAAATGTTGTGAAATCCACTGGATTCTAAGCTTCCTGAGAGAATGAGCTCTGACTGGACAAGGCAGCTCATTTCCAGTAAAGTTCATGGTAATTCTCTGGAAATATTGGAGAGGTCATGGTAGCTGCAGCCCAATGGTGTGCTTTGGGTTAGGGCCTATATCCAGTGGCTATGTGGGGCACCCCACAAGGTTTTCTTTTCCCTTAGTTCCAGACATTCATTTAGCAAGCTGGACTCAGCCAGTCAAGAGAGGCCATAAATGATACAGCCCAGCCCAGTGCACTGTGGGAGCTCAGAAGTTAAAAAAAAACAAGTTGCTGCAAATGATAGATTTTCAAACTAGATACAGACAGGAGGGAGAGAGAGGAGAGAGAGAGAGAGAGAGAGAGAGAGAGAGAGAGAGAGAGAGAGAGATTGCTTTTGCTTTTTGTTTAACTCTTGGCTAGTTTGTGTAATTAACCATGTGTCCCTCTTTTTCAGGCATTCCACGCCACTTGCTGACCCCTCTCAGCAATTCTAAGTGATCTTTTTCAGTCCGAGTGGTTTTAGGACTCGGTAAGTAATGCCTCTGTGAAAGAACTCTTGTTCTGTGCTTAAAGACCCAGAACCAAACCTCAAAAAAAAAAAAAAAAAAAAAATCATTTGAAAAGCAAATCTCTATGAAACTGGTCTTGGAGCTGATGATATTTTAAAAGGCCCAATCCCAAACAACACTCGTAAACACCTTAATCAACTTCTGAGGACTCTCTAATGCATTGATTAGAAGTTACTGGTCCTTGAGCACGCTGCTACTTAATAAACCATTAAATAAAGTTAATTATTATCAATATATTGCAGGGTTGGAAAATCTATTCTGGCTTTTGTTTTCTCATGCAGTCATAAGGGAATTTAGAATTGAGAGAGCAGTGATATTTTGATTACATTCCAGGTACTACTCTGAAGCAAACTAAGCTTTAACTTTCAACTTTGCCCTTTAGTGTCTCTTCTTGATGGCATTTTCCCCACCCCCACCCTGTAAACACCACCTCTACAGAGCTCTCCACTCTCTTCATAAAAATTTTATCCTGTAAAGAATATAACATGGTCAGAAAAAAAAAAAAAAAGGTGTGTAAATACTGTTCCAGTTGGCTGTGTTCACTCTTGCAAGAAATTTTTTATTTTAGTAGCTCTTAGGACAAATGAGAGGGCCCACCATCAGAGTTTACTTTGGTAGAGGGATGTGGAAGGGGAAGGGGTAGGCTTTCTCTGGATCCTAGCTGTAAATTTGTTCTGAAATCTAAAGAGGCTTGTAAAGCTCTTAGCAGAGTGCTTGACAAACAGTGAATGCTCAATAAATGTTAGTTGGTATTTTTGTGATTTTACCATTGTGGATGCCATCACTAGCTCCTGAGGGGCGTGACTGAGCTTTTATTGATAAGTCATGGGGGATAGTATAATCCATATTCAATTGTCTAACTATTTAGAACTTTCTCAGAGTACGCTGGCTTCTGCTTTGGACTGGTAACTAGAAAAGAATGCATTTGGCTTTCTTGACCCCTACTAATGGAAATCAGCTGAAATATCCCAGGGATTACAATTTCAAGACCTCTGACAGGAAATTCGCACACAGTCTTGGACATATACAAGCTTCCTCAGAATGGCCATGAGCCTAGTGACTCTGCTGAAATGTCAAGTCAAATTGAAAGGGTTCTGAGGCCACTGAGTAAGTTGCTAGGCTACCAAGCAAGGCCAGACAACTCCTTGCTTATCACATCTTCCTGGCATTGTTCTCGGCTTGTTTCACATGTAGTCAATGGTATTATTATTTTACATGTTCCCCAACTGCTGGTTCTGTTAACACAAGTAAAGGTCTAAGAAAGTGATGGATGGTTCTTAGTGAGGCCGTAGAGTTTCTGCATAAATCAGTATGTGGAATATATAATTTGGAAATAGTTTCAGTCTGTAACAGGAACGATTCTTTTATATTAAACAAACGAAAGATGTTAAAGTGTTTCAGTGAGTACTCCTACCCAGTGCAAAACTTGTTCTTGGAGAGGAAATGAAATTTTGGTGAAAGATGGAAAAGGCAGTAATTTATTTTACAGGCATCCTCCTACATGTGTGAAATGACATTTGTTTCAGCTATTCATTACAGCTTTGTTTGTAGTATCAAAAAATTGTAAATAACTCAAATGTCCATCAATAGAGGACTAATAAAATAAATGACGTAAGTCCCTCATTAGAATATTATGAATTCTGAAAAAAAAAAAGATAGTAGGTTCTCTATGGGCTATAGAAAGATTCCTAGGATAGAGTATAAGGAAAATAAAAGCAAGGTACAAAAGAGTGTTGTAAAATGAGGTGGAGGGAAAGGACATATGTACATCTTTTCTTATAAAGGCTCAGGTTATCTCTGAAGTGGTACACAAGAGAATGGAAATCGTGGTCAAGGGGAGTGGAGAACTGGGTGCCTGGAGAGCATAGGAAGGAGAAAGAAGTCTTTCTATACACAACTTCAATATGTTTTAAATTTCTTATCATGTAAATGCATTTTCTTAACTTAAAAAAAGTGATTTTTTTTTAAATTCAAAAGAGAAAAATAAAGAAAAGTAACAGTAGAGCATGATCTTATGTATAGAAAACAACATGTCTACCAATGGAATGGAGACAAGGCCAAGAAACCATGTAAATCATTCTGTTTTTCTGAATCTTGGGAATTTCAAGTTTCCAGAAACCCCCTTTAGGAATGTGAAACAAGCTGGGTGTGGTAGCATAGGCCTGTCATCCTAGCGACTCAGGAGTCTGAGGCAAGAGGATTGAAAGTTTGAGGCCAGTCTTAGTAATTTAGTGAGGCCCCCAGCAACCCTGCTTCAAAATAAAAAAAATAAAAAGGGGGTGTAGTTCAGTGATAAAGTACCCCTGGGTTCAATCCCCAGTATCAAAAAAAAAAAAAAAAAGGAATGTGAAAAAATGGTGTCATGAATATCTCTTGCATTCAGGATTAGGCAAACTTTTCTGTTTCACTGAATTATTTTTGCTGTGTCTTAGTAAGCTTTGCATCAGAAAACCATATTCACTGCAGTGAATATGGGGATTGACCTGTCCACGTCATTCAACTCTACCCCTAAGTGTAGCACATGTATGGTTGATTCGCCAAGGTTGGACCAAATTAACCAAGTCACAGTAACCCACTACCATTGCCAACATTTAATTGATTCAAGAAAGGACAGTTCAGGCTAATCTAGAAAGGGCATTAGGTAAAAACTAAGGAAATATGATTTAGATATGGACTTTCAGTTAAACATATATTGTTTTATTAATTATAACAAATGTTTTATCTTAATTTTAAAACAATAATAGTACGGAAAACTGATTGAGGAGCACATTGGCAGCTCTAAATGATATTTGTAATTTTTCTGTAAATATAAAACTGTCATAAAGTTAAAAAATATATTTAATATTTAACATTTATAAATAAATATATATATATAAAAATATATATTCACACAAAAAATAAACTAAAATTGGGTATTCATTATTGCCATGTCCTCAATATTTTTAAATTAAAAAAAATCTTTACTTTTACAAAGTTATTACTTTTGAGATGGAAGCAATGGCATACACCTTAATCCCATAAAACATACCTCTTTTCAGTGTCTGCTAGACTTTATTAATTATTAAATATTATTAACTCAGTAGGCTGAAGCAGAAGGAGCTCAAGTTCAAAGCCAGATCCAGCAACTTAGTGAGACCCTGTCTCAAAAATAAATAAATAAATGAAAAGACCTGGAGAAAAGCTCAGTGGTAAAGCACCCCTGAATTCAATATATAGTACATAATCATCATCACCATCATCATCAAAAGTTATTATCTTAAAAAATTATTTTCAGTGTCCTTAGTGGTGGCGCATGTCTATAATATAGCAACTTGGGAGGTTGAGGCAGGAGGATAGCAAGTTTTAAGCCAGGTTTGGCAACTTGGTGAGGCCATCTCAAAATTAAAACATAAACAAGGCTGCTGGGAATGTAGCTCAGTGGTAGCATACCCCTAAATTTAATCCCCAGTACAAAAAATACCCCACAATATTTGTCTTTTTAATAATTAACTATTTACAATTTTGTTTCTTATTTTATTTTTTTGTGTGTGATTCATCTCAAATTGCTACTTCCATGTTACTTTGGAAATTAAGTGGTTAATAAGTCCAGCCCAATCAGATGAACAGTCTTTTATTCCACACTTTCTAGTACTCGTTTAAAAAAATTCCATGCAGATTTTTGTGTTTTATGTCTTATTTTGCTGTTTTTGTGTAAAATCAAATAAAGAACACCGTGTAAATATAATTAATCAGAAGTGTGTAAACCTTTGTCATCAATTAAGTTCATTTATTCTTTGAAGTCAGTTAATGAATGAAATATGCTAATAAAATGATGTCAATTGAGAGACTGGTTATCTGATTTCTACAGTTAAACATTTTTCATTTGTCTTGTCTTTTTGGTTCAATGAGTTTTAATTTTTATTTTTGTATAGTTTAAAAACCAGGTTTTATAGGCCTCTCAGGTATAATCAAGCCTATATGAGATTCACACAAAGTAAATTCCTAACTGTGGTGATTTTTTAAAAATATTTTTTAGTTGTAGATGGATACAATACCTTTATTTCATTTATTTATTTTTATTTGGTGCTGAGGATCAAATCCAGTGCTCCACCTGTGCTAGGCAAGCCACTGAGCCATAACACCAGCCTCTAATTGTGGTGATTTTGAATCCATAATATTAAATAACTGATTTATAATATGGCTAAGTTTCATAGCAACCATATTATCTATGGTTTTCGTCATACATGTTTTCAGTTGTTGCAGTACTTAGCCCATGCTATTTATGATGAAATTCCTTAACAGGTAAGAGATCAGGATAAGGTGAATTGACTGATTTTATAAAATACTACTCTATTTCCAAGATAGGGCAAAGTCAGCAGATCCCCTTGCAAACATAAAATATACCTCTTTTCAGTGTCTGCTAGACTTCAGATTTTTCTTCCTGGGACACCACTGGATATGGATCAAGAAAGGTTCTATACCATAGGTCAGCACATTTTTCTGTACAGGGTCAGGTCATAAATATTTTGGACTCTTCAGATCATGTGGACTCTGTCACTACTCGCCTCTGTTGAAAGCAGCCTTAGGCAATACCACAAAAGGGTTTGGGGCCACAATTGGCTGACCCCTGTTCAATTCGCTTTGCTTTAAAATTTAATCTCTAAGCAGATCACTGTGTTTGAAGGATAATACCCAGGATGGCTTACATTTAATTAGAGTGATTTATGTCTTGTGACATTATAACATGTTCTCTTATGTTGAGACTTTGAGGCCAGAGAAATATGGTTGGAATTTCAGTACTACTCAGCAGTAGTTGTGGACTGGAATCTCTCTACAGTCTTTATTTTCCCATTTATGGAATGTGGATAATAAATCTTACTTTGGAGGGGTCTTGTAATGATTAAATGAGAATGTATGCCAAGTGCCTGACACAAAGAACATGCTCAAAAAATATTAATTTCCCTCTCAGACCCTGCAACAA